TACTTACACAGTGGAATAGTCTCAAAATTTCTCATGATTGACATAAAAAGTAGTCATGAGCACAGCAAATTTTTGAGATGTATGGTTACAAATCATGTATATTTTTGTTTTAAAATAAACCTTTTCTTTTCCTTAGAGCAGTTTAGGTTTATTAAAAAATAAAAAATAAAAAAAAGTGAATGTATGGCTGCGCCCAGTGGCTCATGCCTGTAATTCTAGCACTTTGGAAGGCCAAGGTGGGTCCATCGCTTGAGGTCAGGAGTTCAAGACAAGCCTTGCCAACATGGTGAAACCCTGTCTCTACTAAAAATAAAAATTAAAAAAAAAGTAGCTGGGCATGGTAGTATGTGCCTGTAATCCCAGCTACTTGGGAGGCTGAGGCCGGAGAATCACTTGAACTCAGGAGGCAGAGGTTGCGGTGAGCTGAGATCACACCAACACACTCCAGCCTGGGTGACAGAGTAAGACTCTGTCTCAAAATTTAAAAAATGGGTGTAAAGTACAAAAAGTTACCCTATATAGTAAGCCCTCACTTAACATCATCTGGATTCTTAGATGGAAACTGTAACTTTAAGCAAGACACCTTATTTTCTACAGTAGTCTAATTGAATAGTATAAAACCACAGTTGCTAACAAGAAGATCAATACAAAGCAGGAAAACACTTGAAGAAAAAAGTTAAAAAGTATGGCAGTGACCCCTTACATACAACACCAAAAGGAGGATCCATTAAAAAAATGAGAAGTTGGACTTGATTAAAATTTAAAACTTCTATTCTGCAAGGACACTGTTAAGAGACTAAAGATACAAGCCAAAGGCTAGAAGATAGTCTGTTCAAAACATCCAACATATACAAAGAACTCTTAAAATTCAACAATAAGAAAACAACTTAATTTTTTTAAATGGGCAAAATATTTGTAGTGCTTCTCAAACTAGCTGTTGATGAAGGACTGGTTTTCTTGGTATTTGTTTTAATTTGCATCTGTCAAGGATTAATATCTTGGTAAATTAAGAAAAATGATTCATAAAATAAAATGTTAAAAATGATACAAACCCAAAAGCATTTTTCTTAATTATTAGATTGAACAGACTTAAAATTGTTCTGTAAAACTGGACTAAAACTTTCTAAGTGTTTACTCTCAGGCTTTGTATTTATCTCTTTGTGACTTGTACCAGTCAGGCCTGTACTTTGAGTAACACTGTTCTTTTTAACTATTGTCAAGTCCCCATTTCTCTGACCAAAGCTCTGTCTGGAAGAAGGAATGATCTTGCAATTTATAATTGAGGGCATGAGGTAAAGTTCAGAATACCAGAATATCATGGGCTATTTCTATTTGAAAGCTTAGAGGACAGTCAGCTTGCACACTGGGTTTCCTTGGCACTAACCACAGATTCTTTTCTCTTAGTTGCTATTTGGACCAAAAAAAAAAAAAAAAGGTAGTATGAGTTTTTTTCTCTTTCAGCCCTCGTACTCTTTCAGCCATCTTACTCGATATGCGTATCATTATACCCCCCTCTCCAATGCTGTAATTGGTAAGAAATAAGATTAAAATGCTGTTAAGTTTTAGTCAAAGTAAGAATTTAATGATTTTTTTGAGTTCTAAGACTTTAAGGTTATACAGATAACGAGTTGTTTTGAAATGTTGATTTGTTGACATCACCGATCACATAAGTCAATTATTTCTGTTTCTAATTACTTAATTACTCTCAAGCAAATCCTTTGTGTTCTAGATCCCTCAGTGTTACCACTGCCCAGGGAATGAGAAAACCAGGCTGTCATTATTAGTGGATATTTTCCTTGTTTCTTCCCCTTTTCTTATAAGAAAATATAAGGAAAGGATGTGGACAGCTGAGAGTAAAGTTATTTTCTATTCAAGTATATGCCAAACTTAACAGGTGGTAAAACTGACTCGGAACTCAGGGGTAGGAACTGACTATAAGTGGTGTAAAAAAAACTTTCGTCTTCCTCCACCAGGCTTAGTTTCCATAAGGAGAGTGACCCAGACCCTCCTATTCTCCATTAAACCCTTTCATCAGGTGCTCTCAACTTGCTGATGCTTTGGTGTCCTCTTCACATTTGTGACTTTCAAATGTGAAAGTCCTGCCTGGACCTCTCCCCTGAGCACCGAAAGCACATACCTCATTGCCTATTTAACGTACCCATAACAGAACTATTGATCTCCTCAATTCCCCCAAACCTTCCCTATCTAAGGAAATGACATTACTGTCCACTAAATAATCAGACAAAAAACAGAAACCAAAAAAAGGAAAATAAAACTTCTAAGCTTCATTGTTGATTCCTATCTTCCTCACACATTATGTTCAACCCATTAGTAAATTCTGTTGATTCTGCTGTCAAAAATATAACCTGTTTCTAACCATGTTCCATCAACCCTACAGTCCCAACCCTAGGCCAAGCCACTGTCATCTCTCCTGACAAGTACTGCAATGGCTTCTGTGATTGACAGTCTCACCAGATAATATCCAACAAGGTAAAAGATAATTTTGCAAAAGGAAATCAAAGTTCTATCTCCAAAAGAGGTAGAATTGATAAGTGTCTGAAGGTAACAAATGACCTCTGAATTGATTTTTACCTATTTTTAATTTTTTTAAAACCATTTTTGTAGGTAATATTTAAATTTTTACTTTGGAACATCCGGTATTCCTATACTATGCAATATTACAAACTTTTCAGCCATAATTGTTCAAAAGATGAAAATGGAATGAGAATAAAAATGTAAGCTATGTATGTATAAAAATCCTCAATGTGATGATGGAAAACTGTGCTGAATATTTTTATCATGTTCTAGGAACTAGAAGGGCTTTCTAAGCAAGGACATATATCCAGAAACTCTTAAACAAATGCAAATTACAATAGTAAAAATAATTGCAGCTGGTATAAAAGAGAATGAAAATTCCTATTTATGTAGGAGTCTTTGCTGATCATATAGAAAAAGAACCCAATAGAAAAATAAATTATTGAAGAAACAATTATTTTTTTTAAAGTATATGAATTCCTTTAAAAGTAAATACATGAAAATTTGGGATAAAAATGAAGCTTTATGTATCAGATTGGCAAAATAAAAATGATTTATAATAACAGTATTGGCAGAATGTGGAGAAATTGGCACTTGCACAGATGATTAGTAGTAACATAAATTGAGACTTAGAGTAATTTGGCACCATCTATTAAAATGTAAAGAACATATACATTTTGATAACAACTCCACCATCCTATATAAATATTTCCACAAAAGCTCAAAGATATCTATGTTTTGTGTGTGTGTTTGTTTTTGTGTATGGGTGGTGTATATTTATGTAACCATTACAAATAATGACTTCTAGAAACCGACATAGGAAGGTATCTAAAATATATTGTAAAGTGGAAAATACAGGGTGTAACACAAAATATATTTTTTTCACTACTTTTATTAACATATATTCATGCATATTAGAATAAGCTCTAAAAACTCTGTAAGAATATATAAGGGACTCTTAACCATGGTTTCTGTTCTTAGAGGTGATGTCAGAAAAAGCATTTTCCTAGAGCGTTAAATTATCCAAATGCTAGAAATAAGGAACATGAGTCCGCACTGGGACGAACGAAGCTATCTTCTGTACACTGAAATGCAGTATTATCAAAGCAAAATAATTTTTCATGATATAGAGAAAGATCAGCCTATTTTCAGAATGCTAGGAGAGAAAGCCTACCTTGCCCTTTCACCTTCCTGTCCCTCAAATTCCACATTCTCACACCAATGATCTTCACTGATCCATACTGTCCTAGTCAACTTGTCTGTTTCTACCCTCCATGTAAAGCAGGAATAAAACCAATAGCTTCTTTCATCACCTCTCTTTAAAGACCTACCTAGAGGCCCATCTTAACTGGCTTTGACTGACCCTGCAAATAGAGAAGGTGAAACCTACATAGAATCACATACCACTGAAGTTCAAGCGCCCTGAGTCCTCATCTTGGGCTCTCAGGCAAAAGCACAGCCATTGGAAAAAGCAACCTGGAAGAGTGCACATTCCAGGAACATCTCTGAAAACTGACATGTGAAGAAAGGCAAATACTCCTAGAGTACTCATCCCCAGGCATTCTAGAAATCTCCATAGATATTTGTATGCGGCGCAAAGGTGTCATTTTCCCCAAAACTATTGAGAAACAACCTATATCACACACACGTAGATATCTATACATTAATATATGTATGCAAATATATATACATACATATATCAATTATCATCCAACAAAACACATCTGCTTGGTTTTCAAAAGCCATGAAGACCAGAGCAGTATGAAAACAGGATCCAGAAATAAGCAAAAAACAGATTAACTTCAAAGTGAATGATATTATTTGAACTTCTCTGTTTCTACTTCTGCATTTCAAATTAGATAAAGAAGTTACACACGACTAGGTTTTGTCATCATTGTGTGTGTTGTTTGTCCTTATAAAAATGACAGAACTGCATAAAATACTCTCCATTAACTCAGTACTCACAAAAATCTCAAGAGGCATGTACTATTATTTCACTTTCCAAATGAGGTACAGTGAGGTAAACTGAAGCAGAGAAGAAGCACCCAGAATTATTGTTCATACCATGCACTGGCATTTTCTTGAAATAGTTCTCTTTTAACTGATGAGATGCAAGAATATCCCCCTCCAGAAATGCTCTATGAATTCTAGGCCATAAAATTCGAGGCAAGCCACACAATGTGTCTGTGATGCATAATGCATACCACCAACCTAGGGCTTATTACAACTTAGGCTGGAGCAGCAAATGGAATTCGGTCCCAGAGCTTTAATATGTATGCCTATGTGTGGGAAAAAGACAGAAGAAGCCTTTGTTACTACATGCAGTCCCAAAGGAAGCCAGTGCCCCGCAGCAAGTTCTGACTGCTTGCACTGGAAATCATGGAGGGTACTCCCCTCGCCATCTGGGTCGCGCGCGGGCCCCAGGGTCCAGGGCGCATGCGTGGCCGGGCGGCCGGGGCGCTTACCTGGTGCGCCCGCCGAGCAGGCACAAGGCCAGGAGCAGCAGGGCCGCGGCGAGGGCCAGGCCCCAGGGGCCGGACTGCTCCAGCGAGAAGCGGTCCATGGCCGCTGACACGTCTGCTATTCGGCGCGCGCTAGGCCGCGGTGGGCAGCCCGGGGTCTCCCTGCGAGCGGCGCGGTCGGCGACTCTGCAGCCTTCGGCGGCTTCTCTGCTCAGCGACCCCTAGTCCAGGGCCGGAGAGGCTGGCCTGCGCGCGGCGCAGAGGGACTGTCACCCGGGTCTCCCGGACTGAGTGACAAAAGTTCGCGGACTCCCCTCTCCCCGCCTATCCTCCACTCACGCGCACCGCGCCGTCCCCCACCGCTTCCGACCCGGCAGCTTTTGGAAAATAGCGCTCTTGATCCTTCCGGGCAGGAAGAAAGGCCAAGGAAGGGGGAAGAAGGGGAAAGAGAATTTCCCGAGGAGCAGCCCTGAAGGCCTAGAGGAGGGGATTTCGATTCTTAGGTGGACGGGAGCCCGCAGGGTTCCTCAGCCTTTCGCCCACGCGCTGCTGGAGGAGCGGCGCTGCTGGAGGAGCGACTCTGCTTGGCCCTCAGGACGCTGGAGACGGTGGCCGCTGCTCTCTGACACCTGCGGTCTCTTAGGTACGACCCGGCGGGGTTGCGAGGGCGGCAGAAACCCGCCGAGTGCGCGACCTCCGACCCGTTCCGCGCCGACCTCCTCCACCCCTTTACAGCCTATTTGCTCACACGTTTTGCTTGAGGCCTACTGTGTGCAGAGGCGCGCGCCAGAGACGCGGAATACAAGGTCCTAGGCTGTGAGCCTTCGGAAGTCCCGATGAGGCACATAGTGCAGGAAGAGAGTGAGACAGGTAAAAAGAAATTGCACAACAGCGTGGTAGGGGCCCAAGTGGTTCAAGTACCACGGGTGGTACTCGGAATAAGGGAGAACTTTTAAAATATCTTTTTCTGAGTGTAATGAACATCCACTGAATACTTTACACACGTTTTTACTTTCTATTTTTTTAAGTAGTATTTTATCGAAAACATGAGACTCAGATTAAGTAACTTGTCCTGCTTGCTCACTTGATAAGTGTTTACCATTCCAACTGTAAATATTTACCATTCTAACCAAGGCCTGTTCCAGGACTTCTGTGTTCTATCAGAGCAACACTTCTCTGGAATGGGTTCCACAGCTTTAAAACTGAACTCTGGTATTTGACCCATCCAGTCCATCATCCCCATTTCTACCTCCCTAAAACACAGACCTATCCAGCTTTTACTCTGTTTAAAATGGTTACTCTTAATAGTTGCCTTTGTGGTAAAGTAATATCCTCCACCTGCAATGAGAAGCCCTCCTCAATTCGTCTTCATTGTACAGCTCCCCTCCCCAGCACAGTTCCATACATACTCAAGCTTGAGCCACCATGTCCCTCATACTCAGCCTATTCACGTTATTAACTTAAAAATCCACTGTGATTTTGATTTGCATTTCTCTAATGATCAATGTTTTTTCGTATTCTTATTGGCCACATGTATTTTGGAAATCAGTGTGGTGATTTCTCAAAGATAGAACTACCATAGGATCCAGCAATCCCATTACTGGGTATATACCCAAAGGATTATAAATCACTCTCTCATAAAGACACATGCACACTTATATTCATTGCAGCACCATTCACGATAGCAAAAACATGGAATCAACCTAAATGCCCATCAATGGTAGACTGGATAAAGAAAATGTGGTATATATACCATAGAATACTATGCAGCCATAAAAATGTTTGGTTTTCTGCTGCTAAGGATAATGGCCTCCAGCTCCATCCTTGCACATGGAAGCAAGTTGGTGTTTATGAGCCTCTTTTCCTTGAACATGGAAGGATGGAGCTGGAGGCCATTATCCTTAGCAACGGTAAACCAAATACAACGTGTTCTCACTTACAAGTGGGAGCTAAATGCTGAGAACACATGAACACATAGAGGGGAACAACAGACACCAGGGCCTGCTGGAGGGTAGAGGTGGGGAGGAGAGAGAGGATCAGGAAAAAAGGCTAATGAGTACTGTGCTTAATACCTGGGCAATGAAATAATCTGTACAACAAACCCCCATTGTATAAGTTTGCCTGAATTTAAAAGTTAAATGAAATGAAAATGAAAATTCATACATTTTAAATTTTCAAAAGGGGAGGGAAGGCTTTATTTCTTCCAAAGGGTTACAGTCTGCAAGGTGGCCATCCAGCCAGGACCAGAGACAAGCCCTTCAAAGGGGGAGGGTTTGGGTAGGAGTTTCATGCTGAAGAGGTTGGTTAAACATATATATGTTTAACTAGTTATAGGAGGAGCTGTGAATATTCATGAGGTGGTGCTGACACATGCCTATTGAGCAAATATGCATGTAGCATATGATCCGTTTTCACTTTGGGGTGGCTACATAACATTTCAGTGTATTACAGTTATGCTCTATACATCAAAAGATCATTTTACATATGAAGGTACATAAGTGTATAATCTCTGTAGACTGTCAGAACCAGTCAGTGGTCAGTGGTCTTCTTAATTGGGAGAAGGTTATTGAAACCAGACTCTTGTCCAATCAAAGCTGTAGTTATGGCTTGTGGAATAGTGGGGTCAGTTAGCATCTGATGGTAGATGAGCTGTGACTCTTTTAATATTGCAAATCCTGAGGCCAGTGCTTACTTAGCTGATAGAGTGAAAAACCTTGTGGTGGTTAGAACATAGTATATTTTTTAGGTGTAACTGTCCATAGCTGTAAAGCTGTGAATGGCTGGAGTAGCCCCAGAATCTTGGTGTTTACAGGCTCTTTGTCTTCAACTTCTATTCCAGGTTCTTTCTCCTACCTCTCCTTTCTCATGTTATACATTCAGTTTTCCAGGAAGTCCAAAAGATTGTAGTAAACTGACAACCACTCTGTCTCTTCCAAAAGAAAGCAAATTGAGTGGTTTCCATCACTGCTGGAACAGCAGAGCCAGTTTACAGGATGGTGTCCATGCTGGGACATTTCTGTAACCACTGCAGAGAGCTACTCACTGATTTTCACCAGAAGTCTCAACCTTCATGCTTTTGTTTTCTCCTAGATGATTTTTGTTTAAAAGTATAATCAAAATACTAAAATTCACTCTATGTATTGAACATTTGTTATTTGCCAAGCATGATACTTAACATATTATTTTATCACATTAATAACGGCAAAAACCCATGGTTGATTACCCTGCCTTAGAGAAGTGGAAGAAAGCAGCCTGCATAGTTATCTACCAGATTTGGTTAGCAACTGTGTCATACTGCTGTGTTATCTGTACAGTAGCTTACTTGGTACACTTTATTATATATATGCCATACATTTTAAGTATATATTCCTTTTGGGTTTTCCACTTTTGTTAAAAGTGACCTCCATTCCATAAACCAACCTGATTAAAACAATCTAAAGATGTCTTTTATTCTTCTTTTATTTTTGTGGCTCATTATTAGCATCATTATATTCAATCCAGTTGAATTCAGTTTTATCTCCAAAATGTACCATTATCCCCATCACCTCTGTGGCAGACATCACTGGTTGACCCTCCATATCTATTCACCCCTTCCTCCTCACTAACAGAGTCCTTAATTTTTAACTGAACACATGCCTGTCCATCATAAAGACTACTTCTAGTTAGCTGGGTGTGGTGTTATACACCTGTAGTCCCAGCTACTTGGCTAATCGGGAGGCTGAGGCAGGAGGATCACTTTGAGCCCACCTAGGAGTTAGATGCCGCCGTGAGCTATCATCACAGTACATACTGTACAATTCAGCCTGAGCAATAAAGCAAGAAATTCTGTCTTTCTTGAAAGATAGAAAAGGAAGGAAAGAAAAGGAAGGAAGAAAGGAAGGGAGGGAGGGAGGGAGGGAGGGAGGAAGGGAGGAAGGGAGGCAGGGAGGGAGGTAGCGAGGGAGGGATGGAGGTGGGGAGGGAAGGAGGGAGGGAAGAAAAAGGGAAGGAGGGGAGGGAGAGAGTGACAGAAAGAAAGAGTAGAGGAAGAAAAGAAAGGGAGAGGGTGACAGATAATACGTCGTTAGTGACTCACTCCACTAGCCAAGTGATCCTCATCTACCAGGCAGCTGAAGTGATCAGCCTCTTTCTCTGTTCTTGTTCTAATGCAGCATTAGGACTTGAACTCTGGCTTTGGTTTCCCCCATGCCTTATTTTGATTCTCAGGATCCTCTGTGGAAGTCAACAAAACCTGAATAATGATTATTTCCTCTTGCATTTCAACATGTATATCCTAATTCTCCTGCCCAGACTTTGAAACTACTAATACACTGGACTGAAACATTCAAGTATTCAGTCAGTGACTTTTGTTAAGTGCAAATGATATTCATGGCACTATACTTGGCCTATTGGACCTAATAAAATGAATTAGATGTCACTTTTTTTCAAAAAGCTGAGATAAAGCGGACTAAACACATTAGTATTGGATAAAAGAAAGTAAGAAGGCCACTCAAAGAACATTGTAGAGCGGCCATGGGGAAATTTAAGGATATGCACCCATATGGTCTCAATCTTGTGAGCTCCTGGGGAGCAAATTATGTGCTGGAGGGAGGGTAGGTTAGAAGCTTCAGCTGTTAGGAAACATGTGAAAGTACCACTGTGAAAAATACCCAAATGGAATTCCACATTCTTTTTCCAGTAACAGGAAGTCTGTAAAGTCAGAGTTGAGTGTCCAACACTGAAAGGTCCTATCAACTTTTGCCATAAAATGCAGATTAGGTTCAGGTTTTGAATCATATCAAAGCACAACTCCTCTATTACTAAAATGATTGACTGCTGTTTATCTCTTTCCTTCCCATAAGTTTTATTGTAACTAACTTTTGTTTTGTTTTGTTTTTTTGAGACGGAGTTTCGCTCTTATTACCCAGGCTGGAGTGCAATGGCGTGATCTCGGCTCACCGCAACCTCCGCCTCCTGGGTTCAGGCAATTCTCCTGTCTCAGCCTCCTGAGTAGCTGGGATTACAGGCACTTGCCACCATGCCCAGCTAATTTTTTGTATTTTTAGTAGAGACGGGGTTTCACCATGTTGACCAGGATGGTCTCGATCTCTTGACCTCGTGATCCACCCGCCTCGGCCTCCCAAAGTGCTGGGATTACAGGCTTGAGCCACCGTGCCCGGCCGTAACTAACTTTTATTTCCCATTACCTTCAGTTAGAATTAAGACCACACCTGGGCAAAATTATGAAGAAGCAGAAGGAAAGAAAAGAAGGAAGAAGAAAGAAATATAGGCTACATGTTTTACATACATTGTTTT